CACCCACCTACCAACAAAACAAGAGGCACGGTGGCCGTCAACCAACAGATCGTGCGGTATAAAACATGTAAGCCGACGTGTATAGAGGCGCAGGCCGAGGAGCTGGCCATCTTTTTGGCTTTTAAAATGCTCGCCTCGCCTGAGCCTCTTCCACTGTCAGACCTTGTTTAAATCTAAAGTTTTGATGTGTCATATCAGATGTCATGTATGAATGTGGTACGGGCTGTTTGATACTAATAAAAAAAATAAATTATAGAATTCGTTAGTAATCCGTGAGACGAATTTATTAAGTCTAATCAATCCGTCATTAGCACATGTGTTACTGCAGCACCACCTTGTCAAATCATGAACTAATTAGGCTTAAAAGATCTGTTACATAAATTAGTCGTAAACTGTATAATTAATTATTTTTTAATCTATATTTAATATTTCATATATATATATATATATATATATATATATATAGAGTAAAGCGTAGGGAGAAAATAAATAAGACCTCAAGAAAAAAAGAACAAGATGATGGGAAGTTTTGGAATCGCATCACACAGTTGTTGGGCGCTGAGTGGAGGATGACGCGTAAAAGTGCGGGCCGGGACGCTCGCTGGTTTTGGCGTGGACAGCGGGACATACGTGCGCCGCTGCTGCGCAGGCGGTGAGTCACGCACAACAAGGCAGCCGGTGGTTCGACACATGTTCGGTGTTTGTGATCACGGACCACGTCTCTCGCCGCATGATTGGGTGCGGGACTGACCGACTCTCCGGTGACTCAGGCATTTATTAGTTCCTCTCGAAAGTTTACATTCTATCTCGAATGGTTGACACACGTATAAACTATTAAATATAGACTAAAAAATAATTAATTATAGAGTTTACGATTAATTTGTGCGACGAATCTTTTAAGTCTAATTAGTCCATAATTTGATAATATGGTGCTACAGTAACATATATGCTAATGAAGGATTGATTAAGCTTAATAAATTCGTCTCGAGGATTACCGGCGGATTCTGTAATTTGTTTTTTTATTAATATCCGAATACCCCATACGACACCCTCGCATGACACCGTATGTGACACCTTGAAACTTTAGAACCTGGGGCTTGTTCGGCTGGTATTAAAGCCGGCTGAAGCTGTTTTGATATAAGAAAAAAATATTGTAGATTCTAGCTGATAAGCCAGTCGATAAGTTCAAAAGAACATACCCGTGATTTAAACAAGGTCTCAGCCATGAGCAGTGAGACGTACAGAAAAGGTAAAGAAAATTATGGAGTTCAACGCATCTGACGTGGGTGCAATGATTTAGGCCATTTTGGATCTTTTTGTTTAAGTATAAAAAGCTTGACACTGACGGAAAGATAGTACAGTAGTGTGTATAGTCCTGATAAACATTTGTAATCGCACATAGAACTATGGCTTTTAAGGTTTCGTTCGGCTTCTTGAAACTAGCGGAAAATATTATTCTAGTTGAATTGTTATGAGAAAAAAACACTGTTTTGATTGAAAAAAGAAGCCGAATAAGCCGGTTTTAAACTAAGCCGAACGGAGCCTAAGCGTTCATGATTTGACAATATGGCGCTACAGTAACACATGGATTGATTAAGTTTAATAAATTCGTCTCGTGGATTACCTACGGATTCTGTAATTTATTTTTTTATTAATATCTAAACATCACGTACGATATTCTCACGTGACACCCGATATGACACCTTACAACTTTAAACCTTTGATTTAAGCGAGGCCTCCGCCATGAGTACTGAGACGTACAGAAAAGATAAAGAAAATTGTGTAGTTCAACGCATCTGACGTGGGTGCAATGATTTAGGCCATTTTGGATCTTTTTGTTCAAGCATAAAAAGCTTGACACTGACGGAAAGATAGTACAGTAGTGTGTATAGTCCGGATAAACATTTGTAATCGCATCTAGAACTCTGGTTACGCTACTGGGACAATTGCGCAGTTGTTTCCTTGACATTTCAGCTCCTCTGTTACATTCTACTACTCTCTGTCATTTTCTCGCTTAGGAACTTCACGTACACCTATCCGTTCACTCGCAGATTTCCGACAGATCCAAGGCGCAACTTGTCAGTATATGGATTGGGGATGGGGATCGAAAACCAAAAGAACTGATTATTGCTCACTCAGATCTCTGGCGCGGAAGAAGACCTGCTGGCATCGTTTGCCAAGCTTCATCTGGCCAACAATTCCAAAGCACACAGAAAGTACCGTGCGGTACCGCAGTTGGTGCGAAAGCAATCACTCAAACACATGAAAGCGCACAAAAACGCAGTCAGGAACGAGATAAGTTTGCGATCAAAATTTCATGACTATCATAACATGCTGAAATGCCGTGTACATTTACAGATCGACGGTGCTCTCGCACACACCCTCAGGCCTCAACCTCTAGAGCACACAACCCAAAAGATCCCATCTCAGGGAAACAGAAACAAGGGGAGCACGCATGGTGTTGATTCAAGTTTGCAACCTGCAGGTCAGGTCGATCTGTCCTAATCGCCTTCTTCAGTCTTCAGATCAGATCCACCCCCCGCCTGCCTCTGTTCCGCGCACAAAACTCGTTGTGCGGCGCAGCGCCGCCCGGCCAGCCAGGAGCGCCTCCCCCAGCGGGATCTCTTGCAGCTGTAGCTGCTTGAACCAGCACGATCTTCTTCGTCGCAGACCAGGCCTAGCTGGGATTGCTTTTAACTAGCTGGCCACGTACACGTCCGCCTTGGCGGCCACAGAGGCCCCCCTGCTCCGCTGCGACTGCTGCTGCTTCCGCCGGCTGCTGCTGGCCTGCCGCGCGTAGGCCGCGTCATGGTGCATCTGCTCGTAGCGGCAGTCCTCGCTGCAGAACGGGGTGTCGCCCTTGTACATGAAGATGTCGCTGTTGCGGGTGAGCGGCTTGGAGCAGAGCGCGCAGGCGTCCAGCGCGTGCCGCCCGGGCTCGCCCAGCGGCTCCGCGTCGAAGAAGAAGGCGCAGGCCACCGACGTCGCCATGTCTCGTCTGGTTGTTGGTGTCTCTACGGACCAGCTTTGCCAAATGCTTTTGCTGCTTTGGAGATTGGGGAGGAGTGGGGAAAGAGAGTGCGTGGGAGTTCCGCTGCTCTGGTGAGCTTGGCTGGCGACGAAGTGGACGGGGGGGCGCACTTATTGTTGCGAGCTGAGGAACACGACAAGCGGCCCTGACGTGGAGCTTACAAGAAAGCCGAGAGAAAACCGTGGGTGGTTCTCGAACCAGGCGGCGACGGGAGCGAGACGGTCCAGCGCGCCTGCCTATATCACTGTGTGCCTGGTGCCTGCCTCCTTAAGGCTCCGTTCGGCTGGCTGGTTGCCAGCCAGCTGGCTGGTTTTATCTCTTACGAAATCACTATTCACGTCCTGCCAGAACAGTATTTTTCTCTCACAACAATCAGCCGGACACAGTATTTTTCAGTCCTGCCGAACAGTATGCGAGACCTATTTCGAGTCACAGTAGATACACAATTTAAATATGAGTATTATTTTTCCTATAGACTCATTTATAAAAATGGTTCTCGTTTGAGTTTTGTCATTGAAGAAGACTAAAATTAGATATTAAACTATTTACCTATAGCGTTGCCTAAATATGGAATAAGTCTTGTATTTTAGATGATATTATTGGAGATAGTCTAATAAACCATAGCTAACAGCGTGGTGCCTGCCCCTAGTTGGGCTCGCTTCCCTTTTTCTTTGGAGGGTCTACTAAGCAGTAAGGGTAATTGGGTTGTTTAACTGTCTGGTTAACCTCATAAGGGCACTCTCAATGCAGAAACTATCATAGTTTCTATAAACATTAATTGCATCATCATCTAAGTGTTTTACTAATGTGGCAAGGTAGTTATTGAAGAGAGAGAGCAAAAATCATAGAAACCGGGTCTAAGATAAAAACCATGCCTACACGAGAATCAAGACACGAAGGGACGTGATAGGCAGATAATGGAGAGAGAATACATATGACTAGATAAAAAATTGTTTTGTAGAACTATCGATTGTGACCATGATTTTTATATGTAGTGTCTAAAAAAATTAATAGGTATAGAAACTAAACGTAGTTTCTAACATTGGGACTGCCTTAACGGTGTCCCATCCCATGGTGGCCCCGTTCGCTCGGAGGAATCTGGATGGTTTTGGATGAATCTGGAGGAATTTATGAGAGAAAAACACTGTTTTAGATGAAAAAGAAGCAGATCAAGCTGAGTTTAAAGACACACGAACGGGGCCGATGCATGAACTGGTTGTGGGCCCCCTCAGGTAAAGCAGACAAGATTGGGTGTGTCGAGCATGGCATGGCCTTATCTTGACGTGGCAAACAGCTGGATAACTTAGGGGTGTTTGGATCCGGTGATTAAAATTTAGGAGGTGTTACGTGAGGATGTGCACATGAGGTGTTCGGATACCAATAAAAAAACAAATTACAGAATCCGTCAGTACTCCACAAGACGAATTTATTAAGCCTAATTAATCCGTCATTAGCATATATTTATTGTAGCACTACATTTTCAAATCATGGAATAATTAGGCTTAAAAGATTCGTCTCGCAAATTAGTCGCAAGCTGTGCACTTAGTTTTATAATTAGTCTATATTTAATACTCCATGTATGTGTCCAAACATCCGATGATATAACGACTAAAGTTTAGGAGGAGAAACCAAACATCTCTTAGTGCTGGAGGTGGAGCCGAGGGTAGTAGGGTACGAGGTCGAGGCGCTTCCATCACCGACCACCGGCAGTCCGATTTGATGTACTACTGTTCCACACCCGGAGAGGCACGGAGCGATGGCGGTCAGTGCATGGCACCTCGGGGGAGTGTTCTCCGCAATAGGCTTTGGGCCAGAAAGACAGTTGGGCAGCCGCCACTCGGCACACATTAGCGTATGGTCCAACATTAGACATCAATCTGCACTTCAGTCGGCCCGGCCCAAAGACGTTCTTTCACGTGGAATGCATATGAAGTCCAACAAAAAACCTCTAACTTAGAGGCACGGAGCGATGGCGGTCGGTGCATGGCACCTTGGAGTGTTCTCTGCAACAGGCTTTGGGCCAGAAAGACAGCTGGGCAGCCACCACTCGGTACACATTAGCGTCTAGTTCAACATTAGACATCAATCCGCACTTCAGTCGGCCCAGCCCAAAGACGTTCTTTCACGTGGAATGCATATGAAGTCAAAAAAAAACTCTAATTTATCTCCCTCAACTATCGCGATTGTCTGTCCGATTTTTTTTCCTTTATTTACAAAATCAGTTTTTTTAACCTGCCTCAACTTTTTGAAAATCATTCATTTTTGCACCCTCAACGGTTTTAATGGTGATTTTATTGATGTGGCGCCACATCACAGGGAATAAATTGGACTAAGTTGAAAGTTCAACGAGGTAAATTGGATTAGAATTTTTTTTATAGAATATATAAAAAAATATAAAAAAATCATAGGAAATTTGTTTTAGCTCAGAAAAGTATGAAACTAGATTTAGATTTTTTTTTCTAAAATCATGCCTTTTGTTATAGTGCTTAGCTTCAAATATCTTGTTAATGTAACTTGGTTCTATCTGTATTAATATCATCACCTGTGTGCTACCATCTAAATTTTCATGTCACCTTATGTTCCATAATTCATTGCATTACAATGTATTTTAGGAATTTTATAAAAAAAAATTATAGTCAGATTTATCTCCTTGAACTTTCAACTAAGTCTGATTTACCCTTGTGACATGGCACCATACCTGTAAAATCGCCATCAAAACCATCAGGATGCAAAAAGAGAACGATTTTTAAAAGTTGAGAAAGGACAAGAAACCTTTTTTTAGATCAGGGAGGAAAAACGAAAGTTGAGTGATGTAAACTGAACTTCTTCGAAGTAAAAAATAACCTAGTTAAGGTACACCTTGTTACTGAGGCCAGTCATGAAAGTGGTTCCACACTCTCTCATGTGAAAAGTGAAACACAACGTCCCATAAATGAGGCTAGGTACTTTCAAGCCGAGAACCGTGAACCGAACTAAAATTCCGGGTTTTCAGTTTCCGAGGGTGTTTGGCAGGGCTCCTATTGAGAGGCTTTTCTGCAGGAGTCGGAACTGTTTTGAAGAAGCCACGATTTAAGAGGCTTCCTAAGTGAAACGTTTGTTTTATTCCTGGTACAAACCGACTCCAAACCAGCTTTTAGAGCCGGTGGAGAAGCCGGCCAGTTTCGGCTTCGGTTGCATGTTCCAATTGCTTCCATGTTCGGCTTCCGCGTCGGGTTTCTCGCATGGAGAACCGCGCACCCGATCGAAAAACGAAAAATCAAGTCTACGGCGACGGTTGCGGCCTGCGCGTGACCTACCTAATTCTTGTACTGTACTACTTGCGTAGCACAAGCCACCAGGCCTGGCCCAAGGCCCAGCAGGTAGGCGATTCTGAATCTCGTAGAATTTCGGTGAAAATTCCAAAACTGAAAACCTTATTACCAAGGCCCCACCTTATTACCCAAGGCCCAGTCATGAAGGTGGTCCCGCACTCTCTCATGTGAAAAGCGAAAAACACAACGTCCCGTACACACGCTTCTGTAGTTCTCTGTCTTTTCTGCTACTCCTAGCTTTCTTACATCACAACTAGAACATCAGGCGCCCGTTCTCCTCCACAACTTGAATTTTAGCAGGTCCATTGGGGAATTGCTTCATTCATCAACAGCAAAAAAAAAAAAAAAAATCATAATGGCTAATTTCCTAAAAAAGCATAAACGGTTTATAATCTTGAGTTGTCAGGTAAAACACTACAAAGGCCATAGATAAGTAAGTAAAACATATGAGATCACAAAGCTACATTTAGGGAGTGAGACAAGACCAAAAGAACTAAAGAATTTACTCGTTGACAACAGTTTTACAAAAAAAAGAAGACCAAAGATAAAACCTATTATCATTATGCATATAATGGATTAATGGTACATCTACATAGATAATCCTGTAGCCTCATGTAGCAACGGCCATTGTGATCATGAAAAATCAAATCACGAGTATCATCATCAGAACAAAGTAGTCAAAGCCCTATCAGTTACCTGCAATTTGGCACACACAGCACATCAGAGCATGGTACGACATAGAAAATAGATGCAAGCCAAAAAAAGAAAAGGAAAAAACAGAAATATGGTTTACAATAATCTGCAAAGAACCATTGAGGCAGTAGCCATTTACCAAGGAAATGTTAAATGATATTTCTTAATGCACGACATAATATTCAATAAATAAATTACTGGTCCGTAAGACATTCTATTTGCCCTCCTTTTCCCAAATCAATTTTCAACTCTAACATCCTGTGTCTTTCTTCCAAGAGTAACCCACATGTCCAAAGGAAAAAAAAACAGAACAACAGTAGCAAAGGTATTACACAAATAATAGCTGCAGTCTACACATGTAGAAGAACATGATGGTTGAATCTCAAGGCTCATAATAAAGTCCGCTCTCAGATTAGGAAAAAAATATCCAAAATTGGATTAAAATGGTGACCGTGGGTGTTGTTTCATTCGATAGACATCAATTTTCAAGAAACCAAAAGTTACTTGCAATGGGATCATTTAAAAAATTCCATCTATCAGGCGCCCGAAGGGTGCCCTGCCATGACTACTCTACCACAGCCTGGAATAGTTGAATTTCAGCAGGCTCAAGTTATTTCATCTACAGTGCCAAGCAGATAAGCCCTACGTAACCATCATCACTTGAAAGCAAGACGAAATCTACATTCATTGTATCTCCTGAAAATCGGATATAGCACTACAGCTATCAATCTATTTAATCATTGTCTCAATCTCTAGGGTAGGTAATACCGATAAAGGACAAATTTCGTCAAGTTATGCTACTCTGCTCATTTTATACAAAGTAATAACATTCTAGAGCCATTTACATCATTTGGTGAAAAATAATCCTAGATAAATTTGGCCCAAATAAAAGGTCGGCCAAACAAGTCAAAGTTTTTCCTCAACTTCTCCTAAATTTTTGTCATTTGCATAATATTCCAATAACTACACCCCGCACCCTAAACGGAATGTAAAAATGAAGTGCCTGAAACAAAAGTACCAGTGTCAGGTCTACATAAATAATGCATTTGACAAAAAATTATACCACGTTAAATACAATATTTTGCAGCGGTCTGATGAGTTGGACCGTGGGTTAATTTACAAAAATGTGGAGGGTTTTCTTGCAAAATGTACACAGCCACGTTTCGGCACGCGAAGGAGCCAGCAATGCTCCGAATGCTCTGGTGCTTACAGAACCGAGTGGGTTTTAACATCTTCCGATGCCGCCATCCTGCAAAATCTGGCCGTCGATTCCCCGAGCAAAGGCCCGCGATTAATGCCTCCGCTTCAGTCGCTGCTTTGCCTCTATGGCAGAGAGTCCGCGTCCACTCACCTCAGCTAGGGTTTCGGACTCGAGGCCATTCCTCAATCAGCTCCTTCCCCAAGTCGATCCCCAGACGGGCATCCCCCGAGCCCCGACGCTCCAGGCGGCCAGCCCCACCTCCCACCTCCCACCTCCCAGCGCCCCTCGCCGTCAGCCGCCCCCGCCTCCGTCGCCCCCACCGCTGCTTCATCACCTAGTCCTGCCGCCGCCGCCACCCGTCGCCCACAGCGCCGCTCCCGACAGCCACCGTCCCAGCGGCGCGCCCCTCCGCCTTCCGCTGCTCCAGATCCGAGGCAGGTCACCGCTGGGGACGCAGCACGAGCGCCAGAGCTGTTCGCTGGAGCTAACGGGTATGCCCATGCTTACATTTTTTTTTCTTTCCGAAATTCGAATCCGAAAGGATGTGCAGTTTGCTTAAGCTGTTAAGCATAGGGGGAAATGGGAAAAGGATCACATTTCTGTGCAGCTCCTGTGAATTTACATCCATTCGTGCATGTTCGTTGCTGCAAATGTCTTGTGAAGCAAGGTCGATAAGAGCAAACTAATTGGTCTCCGTATTTGCATCCAATTCTCTTTATCGTTAAGCCCAGTGTGCAATTTGTTGTGTGTTACTCCTTATTACTAAGCATTTAAGCTACTTTTCTCTCTCTGGGACTCGTCTACCTTTAATGGACTCTAGCGCAGATCGTGTAGAGTAAGTGGATGGAGGGCACTTTGAGGCATTATCAAGCTAAGAACAATCATGATCGGAAATATTTGCAACATTTCTGTCTTGTGCACGCCCGATTACACTCAAACAGCAACTGACCAACCCCCAATACTCGTACATGAGTGATGCATTAACTACATCAAAATTGTGTTTTCTTTTTGGACAGAAGGCTTCTGCCCAGCTTTATGCGAAGCAAAATAGTCTGCTGAGATTACCTGCTCTTACATAGTACATGCTTGACTTGCCAACGAAGAAGAAGAATCCGTGCCTAGGATCAGCGTCCACAAATTACATGGCAAATTTCAACACTTGCTGCTTTAGCCTAAAACAAGTCACAGCCCACTGTAAAAACCTCTGGACCCATCAGAGAACCAAACAAACATAATGACAATTTTTACCCAACAAACCAGACAGCTGAAACCTATTTTCTCCTCCTCCTACTAGTTAAAAAGCCTCCATCGCTTTTAACCAGGAAAGTACTGCTAGAAAGAGAATCCCAACATGTAGGCTGTTGTCCAGTGAATGATGAGTGTGCTCTATAATTAAGGCGACATCATTTGTTTAGTGTTACTTACCATTGCCCATCTGTAAACCTTTTTGAAGCATTTGGGTACCTTGAATAACATACAAGTCCTAAATGTGATTACGGACTCTGGTGTTTAGACTTTAGACATGTACATGCACTGATTCTTTAATATTGCATAACCAGTCATTTACCCAGCTACTATTTGATTTTGCAACCAGTAACACTGTATGGCACACTTCTTCGCTTCAGGATTTTGAGAAGAGGAATATAATCATGGATATCATGCAGACTAGTGACTCTTCGCATCATGGAATTGTAGAAAATAGCCCGTACAGAATTCCATATGACAGACATGCAGAAGGTGGTCAACTTGGTGCTTCATGGTATTTTAGTAGAAAAGAAATAGAGGAGAATTCCCTATCGAGGAGAGATGGCATTGATCTGAAGAAAGAGTCTTATCTTCGCAAGTCATATTGCACATTTCTGCAGGATTTGGGGATGAGGCTTAAAGTGTAAGTATATATTATACCACAAGTTCTTTGTCAATTATTTTTACTTGTATTTCCTGAAAATATAATATCCATTCGCCTGTAATATCTATAGTTGTTATTTTCAAATTTATTTAGATAACTTTCTAATTTTCTGGAGCTTAGTTTTCCTAGGGCGAATACCATTTATCCCCTAAACTTTGGGGGTGGAAGTTGAGATTTCACCCTAACATAAGGCAGATATCTTTTTTACCTTAGACTTTACACCATACAAACAACACCCTAACTTTGAAAAGTGTTTCTTGCCTATGAGAAAGCAATGCATGGGTTGTTTAACATGTAAGAGTGAATGCCACTTCATCTTGTTTAAATGTTTTATTGATAAGGAAAAAATATTAGGTCCCATGTTTTATATGAAGGAAGTCTTTATCTCCATGCAGCCACAGACTGGTGTTTTCACTTGTGGGCTGTGGTAATGGGTTGTTGTCTGGTTCAGCAAAATCACACTCCAGAAACAATTCACCGTGTCATATTATGTGTCAAAATCGCTAACTCGAGCTTGCCACGTAGCTAAAAGCACCCTCCAATACCTGCTAGGTGTTATTTGAATGGTATAATTTAGGGTGAAAAGTGTTCCAAGTTCCAACTGTTTTTCCCCTGTTAACTGTATATAAATGATTTATGACTGATGCCATATTCACATCTGTTAACCTGTAACATATAAAGTATAAATGACAGCATCTCCTTATGGTCAACAGCATCTGAATTATAAATGTGAGTGCTGGTATTTGACAGCTTTTGTATTCTAGAATAGCTTGAGTCCTAGGCAACACCCTTTGGTAAGACTTGACGACATTAATAATTGCTAAAAAACATACACCATAAGCAACCTTTGTTTGGATCTTCGGGATGGTAACATGTTATTCCGAATATTATGAAATCTTTTTATTGAGATAGATGGCCAAGCATACTAGTAGAACTATTTAGAGTCAGTTGCCTAGCGCACCTTGCCGCTAGGGACCACCTCAATGGATCTTTTATTATGGCACTATGTCTATTTAATACTTTGTGCTTCTGTATATTGAATTGACTTCTCCAGTTTCTCCTGGTATTTTAGTAGAACTATTGAGTACTTATCTTTAATTCTTTATTATAGTTTATACAAACATGTGTTATCTGCCCATTTTAGACAGTTTAAGGTCTTATTATTCAGTTGTTCAAGTTGATTTCTATGTGTCCATTGATTTTTTTGATAGTTCTCTATATGCATGCTCAGTTTTCTGTGTCTGCAATGTAGATCATTTGGTACCAAATAGATCTCATTTGTTGATTGTTATTGCACACACCTGTTAATTCAATTTTATATCTGATAGTTGACATATAACTGTCCGCAACAGTGCTCCTTTTGTAATAAACTAAGACCTGATGATTTCATGAGCACAAGTGTCAAATGGGTAAACAGCTTCGTTAGTAATCAATGCAATTGCAATCAAGGGATGGTGAATTTTCTACTTTAATACTGGTTATATTGTGGTTGCTAGTTCTTGCCTAGCATGTCATGAGCAGTTGATAACATCCTTGTTTTTAGTTAGGTGGAACAGATAATGCACAACACTGTTTAGCACTGTATTTCAGTTGCCTGACTGCCTGAAAATAACTGTATTTTGATTGTCTACTAGCTGGTAAACATGCCTGCTTGTTTGAGTTGAAACCTTTTATATATGTAATTTTTTTCTTCTAATGCCGACTGACTCTGTAATGTAGGCCTCAAGTGACAATTGCTACTGCTATAGTGTTCTGTCATCGGTTTTTTCTTCGTCAATCTCATGCAAAAAATGACAGACGGGTAAGTTTTCTAGATGTTTTTTTTAACCTTTTGGCCTCTGTGTTTATAACATGATTGTAAAGAGTAATTTTCTTTATACACATAAATCACCTGGACACTTTGGTCTACATTGTAGTCAGCACAATCTCAGTATGTAGTAACTGGTAAATCTCCGGCGCTCACAGTTCCGGTACCACCTACTTGTGGAAGACAAAAATATTTGTTTTCACATATAAAACACATGTTTTATTAGATGTGTTACAACAACAACAAAGCCTTTAAGTCCCAAACAAGTTGGGGTAGGCTAGAGTTGAAACCCAGCAGAAGCAATCAAGGTTCAGGCACGTGAATAACTGTTTTCCAAGCACTCCTATCTAAGGCTAAATCTTTAGGTATATTCCATCCTTTTAAGTCTCCTTTTATTGCCTCTACCCAAGTCAACTTCGGTCTTTCTCTGCCTCTCTTCACGTTACTATCCTGGTTTAGGATTCCACTACGCACCGGTGCCTCTGGAGGTCTCCGTTGGACATGTCCAAACCATCTCAACCGGTGTTGAACAAGCTTTTCTTCAATTGGTGCTACCCCTAATCTATCATGTATATCATTGTTCCGAACTCGATCCCTTCTTGTATGACCGCAAATCCAACGCAACATACGCATTTCCGCGACACTTATCTGTTGAACATGTCGTCTTTTCGTAGGCCAACATTCTGCACCATACAACATAGCAGATCTAATCGCCGTCCTATAAAACTTGCCTTTTAGTTTCTGTGGTACCCTTTTGTCACATAGGACACCAGATGTTTGGCGCCACTTCATCCACCCTGCTTTGATTCTATGACTAACATCTTCATCAATATCCCCGTCTCTCTGTAGCATTGATCCTAAATATCGAAAGGTATCCTTCCTAGGCACTACTTGACCTTCCAAACTAATATCTTCCTCCTCCCGAGTAGTAGTGCCGAAGTCACATCTCATATACTCAGTTTTAGTTCTACTGAGTCTAAAACCTTTGGACTCCAAAGTCTCCCGCCATAACTCCAATTTCTGATTCACTCCTGTCCGACTTTCATCAAGTAGCACTACATCGTCCGCGAAAAGCATACACCAAGGGATGTCCCCTTGTATATCCCTTGTGACCTCATCCATCACTAAGGCAAACAGATAAGGGCTCAAAGTTGACCCTTGATGTAGTCCTATCCTAATCGGGAAGTCATCCGTGTCTTCATCACTTGTTCGAACACTAGTCACAACATTGTTGTACATGTCCTTAATGAGCCCGACGTACTTCGTTGGGACTTTATGTTTGTCCAAAGCCCACCACATAACATTCCTTGGTATTTTATCATAAGCCTTCTCCAAGTCAATAAAAACCATGTGTAGGTCCTTCTTCTTCTCCCTATACCGCTCCATAACTTGTCTTATTAAGAAAATGACTTCCATGGTTGACCTTCCGGGCATGAAACCAATTCTCCCTATACCGCTCCATAACTTGTCTTATTAAGAAAATAGCTTCCATGGTTGACCTTCCGGGCATGAAACCAAATTGGTTCATAGAGACCCGCGTTATTGCTCTCAAGCGATGCTCGATAACTCTCTCCCATAGCTTCATAGTATGGCTTATCAACTTAATTCCTCGGTAATTAGTACAACTTTGAATATCCCCTTTATTCTTGTAGATCGGTACCAATATACTTCTCCACTCGTCAGGCATCTTGTTCGATCGAAATTTTATTAGATGTGTTAAAAAAAAGAAAATCCTCATTATTAAAAATTTAAGTTTGTTATCAATACGTGCATTTCTTTTTAGCATACTGGCGCCGTTTGCTTATTTCTCCTGGATAGTTATTCATCATCTGCTAATGAAAGTTTTAATATATAAGTTCATTATAACATGCAGACAATTGCAACAGTATGTATGTTCTTGGCGGGAAAAGTTGAAGAAACACCCAGACCTCTGAAGGATGTCATACTCCTTTCATATGAGATCATCCACAAAAAGGATCCTGCTGCAGTTCAACGAATAAAACAGAAGGTGATTTGATTTAGAGCATTTAATATCTTGATGTTCCTGTTCTAGGTAATCTGAACTTTGTAACCTATGATGTTATTATCCTTTTCTTTCCTTTCCATTTCTCCTATGATAGTACTTTTTTAAAGGCAAGGCCAGGACTGCTCTTTTTATGCAATTTTACGTCCTGATTACTGTGGCACACAACAATAACTGAGGCTGTTTGTTTTGTTTCTTCAGGAAGTATATGAACAACAGAAGGAACTTATTTTACTTGGGGAACGTGTTGTGCTTGTAACACTTGGTTTTGATTTGAATGTGAACCATCCTTACAAGCCCTTGGTTGAAGCAATAAAAAAATTCAAGGTTGCTCAAAATGCACTTGCTCAAGTTGCCTGGAATTTTGTCAATGATGGGTATGCTAAAATTACTCTTCCTCATTACAAATAGTAATCCACAAACATGCCTATTTACTACGCCTTAAAAGGGGTGTACAGGCTCCGCACTTCACTTTGCCTGCAATTTAAACCGCACCATATTGCGGCTGGCGCAATCTTCCTGGCTGCGAAGTTTCTCAAAGTCAAGCTTCCATCAGATGGCGACAAGGTCTGGTGGCAAGAGTTTGATGTAACTCCGCGGCAGTTGGAAGGTTGGTCTCTAGATGCAAAGTCACTAGTGCGCACCTTAACTGCACTAATGTAAAACTTAATTTGCGTAAGTGCTAGTTTCCTACTTATTAGCTATCTAGTAATCCTATGAAAATTGGACAGCGAAAGATAATTGGCGTGTCCAAAAATGATCGTGGAACTAAGATAGGTTGAAGGCACACATAATTCCATGACCTATGGCTCTATACTCAAGGCAATCCCATTTGACTTTAGATGCATTCTGGGGACATGCCAAGGACATGTAGTCAGGAATAATTGGTTGGTGATGTCATTTTAGTGCATTTTTTTAGTTAGATCTTGCCAATCTTGCATTTTGCTATATATCTTTTTGCCACCATGATGCTTCTTTTGGTCCTTTTCTTCACTTTGGATGCTATATTTTTGTTTTGAAAGATCATTTTTATGAATTATTCCATCAAAGATACATGCTTATGCTTTGTGTTTTTGGTTACTCCTTTCAGAGGTTAGCAACCAGATGTTGGAACTATATGAGCAAAACCATGTTCAACCAACACCACCACAAGGTAATGATACTGAAGGCAGTTCTGCAAGTGTTGCGAATCAACGTGCTTCTGGTAAAGTTCCAGGAGTAGCTGATGAACCTCCTGCCCATGAACATAATCAAGCACCCAGACAATCGAGCCAGCAGAACATGTCAGGCCACCATGGCTATGACCACCCTCATCCGGAGAAGCAAAACTATAGGATACCTCCAAATGAAGCAAGGGATGGCACTGCTAATAGCAACGAAGGTCCCAATGTGTCATCCTCGATGATGGATGCAATGAAGAAGATAAACAAGGATAAGGTGAAAGCGGCCCTGGAGAAGCGGAGGAAATCGAAAGGTGACCTTTCAAGAAAGGCTGATGTGATGGATGATGATGACCTCATTGAGAGGGAGCTGGAACATGGCGTGGAGTTGGCTGTCGAGGATGAGAAGATCAAGCAGGAGAGAAGGCAGAGCTGGCCTCATCCTGCACACCGTGTAGACCACCAGAGCACCAACCGTGAGAATACCGAAGAGGGTGAGCTGTTCATGGACAGTCAAGAATACCATTCTCCGGAGCATGACAATCGGAAGAGAAAGGATGCGCATGAGCACCGGAACTATGATCGTGACGAAAGGGACCTTAAAAGGCTAAGGTCTTGAGAGTTACACCTTTGTGGGAGTCTCATGTTGTTTGGACTATAACATGATGTGGAACCTATCTTTCTGTCACAGGTGTACTAGATGCTTATTTGGTGTGCTGGGGGATTTGAACTGTGACATATATAAGTTAAGATGGTTTCCCCACGAATCATGTATGTGTTAAGCCATGTTGGCAATTGAGATGACGCTGTGACTTGAGTATTCCACAGGTTTATGCTGGAAACAATATTAAGGAAGCTGCATCCAACGGCTATCTGAAGTGTGTATGTATTTGATTCCAAGGTTACCTGAACCCTAGTGGTAGCATGCCATTTTATTATTATTCGTCTATCTTGGACTTGGAACGCTGGTACTGGGGATGAGATCGATCGTTCATAGATTATTGTTGATTTTGATACCATGCAATGTGCATGTTCTCTCCTTCCTAAATTATGGGTTGTTTTGGATAGTTTTTATTATCTTTATACACTAGATATAGGTAAAGAAACACATATCTAGTCTAGAAAAGTAAAAAAGAGTAGCATGGAAGAGAGAATTCTTACTGGTGCTGCTCGTTTGCTCGTTCTATGGGCATACAGTATACCACCTATTTGTCGCTGCTTGGAACAGGATATTTTTTACACATTTTTTCTTTAAACATGGTACATTTGCAAGCTTATTACTATGAATGCACGCATACATGGACACCCTATCATAAGAGCTGGGCTGATCTTGAGATTTGGGTGGCTATGAATGTACGCACACATCGGCGCCCTATAATAAGAGGAGGGCCGACCTTGAGATTTAGGTGGCACAATGCAAAGTCTCAACATTATCTATTTCTGACCAGTACTCCTTCGGTCCAAAAACAGGCATCGTTTTAGCCTCTGATGCAATGACCAAGGAGCACCATAGCCACACCAATTTGCAATTAATCACTCCGCTACTCTTAGGCCAGTTTCAATAGAAGTTTCATTAGAATTTGATTTGTATTTAATAAGGTGTCACGTAAACGCTTTTGATGATGTGACAACGTATTTAATTAGAAAGAGAAAAAGTGAGTTTCATGGGGATAAAACTCTTTTGTCATGATTATCAATTTTCCATGAGTCATGAAAATAAATGTCAAAGAAACCAAAGAATAAAACTCTCCATTGAGAGCGAATGTTTTATTCATATTTTATTTTAATTTATAGTCTTAAAAACAACGTCACGAAACTTAGCACTGAGACTGGCCTTAATGAATTTAATGCTGATGCCCTCGCAGGTTCGCACTCTGCTGCAATGAATTCGATGAGAATATGAAATGATGAGGAATTGAGTAGCGGCGTAGATAAAAGGACTGCAGCACTCCTTAGGAAAATCAATGTCATAATAAACTTCTCGACTTTCCTCTGCAGTCGTTCATCTGAACCTTCCATTTGAGTCTCACAGCCCGATCAAGTACAGCAGCCCGGCCATCTCAACCCAAGAGGAGGCAACGCGAGGTCTCTTGGGCAGTTGGGCGCTCGGTCATTCGTAGTCGCCGTTGTCTTTGTTCTCCCCGTCAGGCCGCCACAGCTCGCCGGCGCTCTCCTCACCGCCACCGAGCACCACCAGGTACGCCCTCCGCTTGATCTTCCCCTCCTGCCGTGCGAAGCCGTGCGAGCAAACTTTAACGTAGTTCGTAAGTACGCCTTCCCCTTCCTGCTGTGCGAAACCGTGCGTCCAAACCCTAACATAATATTCGTATTCGGATCTGAATCTAATTACAAGTGTATATGCATGTATTATGCCTACTAACTTCGATTGTTTTGCAAAAATTATCCATGTCCTTCACTGGGTCCGCCCCTGCTTGACAGAGCAAACAGAGCAAGGAGATAGATTAAGAATGGCTGTGCGGAGCAGTTCTATGGCCGCCGAGGATGACTACGAGGTACGTTCCAGTTCTTTCCTCTCTTTCTTACAGTTGCTCTGTTTCCCCGCTTACTATTGCGATTAAATTGTACTAGTTTAGACATGTGCAGAGTTACGGCCTTATTGAGCAACCGGAAATTGCTAGATGGTGGATGAACGAGTGACATATTTAACTACTATAGGGCAAGATATTTAGGTAGTAAAGTAGAATTGGAGTATCTTTTGTTGTTGGATGAGTTCACCTTTAGTTTTTACTTGTACTTGGGTAGATTTCTCGATTGATGACTTCATTTATACAGATTCCAGGGATACAATTGTTCTGAGAAAGTTTAGTATCCTTGTGCTGTTTTTGGGTGTGATTAGGTTGAATGGAAACAAAAAAAAAAATCAATTGTCAACATATTTTTGGGTGATAGTGCAAGCTTTAATGCCTAGGGTACTAGAGCTGGATATGTAGAATTGTATTTCGCAAAAAATAAGAATTATATAGCAGTATAAATACATACTCCCTCGATTCCAAATTGTAAGTCGTTCGGACTTTTAGAGATACATAGCTGCTTTTACTAGGTATCTAGGTACATAGCAGACGCTATGTATCTCAAAAAGCCAGAACGACTTACAATTTGCATTGGAGGGAGTATTTGTTTTGAGTTACATTGGACCATGACTAGATCATGATGTTGAATCATGTGGCAGCAGAATAATGGTGTTTTCCAGAGGATGCAAATACCATCCACAGTAACATAACATTTTTTTGTCACATCCATATAGGTCTAAGTTTACTCTGAATTGAGATTGTATGTGCTCTTATAGTGTTGATGTTATGCAGACTGAACAAAAGAAGCAAGCTGCTGCAGATGTTCTTTTTCACTATTCACAATTTGTTATGGTCTGCATTGGTGAGGATGTTCGCCCTACTGATCTCAGGTTGCATCTTATGAAGGCATATTTATATTTGTTATAATCAAGGATTCAAGGTTGACCTTTGTGGTTCCTCTATCTTGTGAATTTATCATATGCTTTTCTTTTGCTGAGAATTTTTTTTTCTCGAACACGCAGGAGAACTGCGTATCATTGCATTGAAAAAAAAAGGGACCCTTACAAAACACCACACACACCCAAAAGGAAACTACAAATCACCTTCCTTTGCGCCAGTAAAAGAAAAGGATATGACTGCAACCTAAAAACACACACACACCTTACTGAGGCGACTGGGTGAAAAGGTAAAAATACCTTTAGCCCCAGCCAAAACGCACAACTGTAGCTCCTCACTAGAAAACAATAAGGCTCTAGCCAAACAAGGAGGTACACCATCAAAAACACATCTATTGTGGTGATTCCAAATGGTCCAAGCCAAGCCCCAAGAATCACAAGGGAGTTGAGGCCTTTATGCAGTTGTCCTCCAAGGCTCCAACAGGAAGAATAATCTTCTCCCACCAATCATCAAATAACTCTTCTCCAATCCGAGGGGCAAGGATCTGTAGGCCTACTCTGTGGAATAATCTGTACCAAAAATCTCCAGCAAAGACACAAGAAAGGAGAAGATGGTTTATGGCTTCCTCATCTTGATCACAATGAGGACACCTCTCTGGATGTGGGAGCCCTCGCCTTGCCAGTTGATCGGCCGTCCAACACCTGTCATGAGCTACCAGCCACATGAAGAAAACAATTGTTCCCCTTGTAGATCAATGCTTTGTTCTTGTTAGTTTCCTTCTTATTTATCGTTTGCATGACTATTTGCTGGTCCCGATGTACTTTATGTGTCTAGATACTAAAATTGAGAGGTGCCTCTACATATTTAGTGAGAAAGGGTAAGCGATAACAATGGTTGCTCGGCTAATCCAAGCAAAGGTTAAAAGTATCCCCAAAATCAGTCATCTACGTTTTATAAAACGTTCTGCTTTATCTTCTTGTCATGTGTGCACCTCCTCTCTGTATTTTTTGGTTGTTCATAGACAGGTCTCATAATTTGTACAAAAAGCTGTACTACAATCAATTGAACATATGAAAAGTTTTTTAGTATTCCCATTGTTCCCACCATCTCCATCCTAAGCAATGGCAACTGTTGAATATAACCATTGTTTTAACATACTTGTTGCAACCATAAAATCAACTGGCTATTCTAAGTTGAGAGGTCAAACTATAAATACAGATAACATCCACTTAATCTTGTTTGGTGAGCTATAAAGAGGGGTTTGAGGAGTTGGATTTATTTTGAACCTACATGACAAGCTTGGCGAGCCTTAATTTATTTTGTTTTTCTATCGTACAGATTCTTGCCTGATTCAGTTTTTTTCTATGGAACATTTTGCTACTTTGAGTTGTTGGGATCATATCAGTTGCTTTTATGTTGTTTCACTATCAGCAAATGATTTACCTCTTGTCAGATCCCTTCCATTCTTGTCAGTTGGTTTTGTTGCTTGTTTGGGGACCTGAGGCAGTTAGCTGATTTGTCTGTTGACCTAACTTTTCCAAACCCAAGTTATGATTTATACTTTGGGTTAATAATTGTTAGCAGTAAGACAGTAACTCAACATGTACGGATTGAGTCTTAAAAAGGAATAAGAAAAGGAACTATTTGCTAGAAAAACTCTGAGATGATGACCTTGTTCATGCTTAGGGCTGGATATCGAGCCAGCTCGGCTCGGCTCGGTCCAGTTCGAGCTGGCTCGTTAGGCTAGCGAGCCAGCTCGGCTCGGCTCGCTAATATTACGAGCTAGAGGGGCAGCTCGGCTCAGCTCGTTACCGAGCTCGAGCTGGCTCATTTAGCTCGCGAGCTACTAAAAAAAAATAGGACACACATGTTTATAATGTTTATGCTACATTAATTCCAGAAGGTGACATCCACCGTTACGCAACCATACATGATTAATACATATCATGTTCATCAAAAGTATCAACCATGCAACATAGCTGGTCCATCGATGATCATGCAGTTCCAGCATATTAACTAGTTTCTTGCCACCACAAACTTAGGAAAGTCCACGGATTCAATGTCAGCATCGTCATCTTCTCCCTGGAAAACAATCCATAAAATCAACATTTAAGTACCACAAAAAGGGCGTACCCAGTGCAGAGAGCTCCCGCTCTGTGCGGGGTCTGGGAAAGGATGTCAGTGGCAAGCC